AGTGCTTAAGGACAATTTACCAGGCAGAAAGGACACTTGTTCTGTTTCAAAGACCACAAAGCAATTCCATCAGAAACCAAAACAATGGTTTATAATTATTTTGTCTCGGAAAAGAAAGGAAAATAGCTAACAATTATGCAGCACTAGCTCCACGCCAGGCACCGTTCTCAGCATTTCGTCTATATTAACTCATTTAGCCCTCACAATAACCTGGCAGTTGATAGGTTATGATTGACATCTTTATGTTATAAATGAGAAAATGGAGGCAGAGAGGTTTCAAGTGACTTGGCTCGGGTATGAAGACAGGCAGCCAGACTCCAGAGCCTGTGGGCTTCATCACTACCTACGGCGAAACGACTTGTCTTACACACGGGCTGGGAAAGACCTTTACAAGAAGCACAGGCTCCACTTATTCATGTCCGGAATGTTATACATACAAACACATTTCTCTTATATATAGACTATAGTAGTCTAGACTGTGTTTAGCATTTCAGGGTGAGCAAGATTGTGTGTGTGTGTGTGTGTGTGTGTGTTTTGAAGTGTAGGAAGTAAAAAAATCTCTAGAGAAATGAAAGGAAACGCTACGGGGCGGGGGAGAATGGCAGCCACATGTTGTCTGAAATGTAAACTAATTAGAAGATCTGACTAAAGGATATTTCAGAACAGATGGAGAAAAAAAAATAAACCCATTGGAGAGATTGGAAATAGGGCAGGTTATTGTTCTATTAAAAAACACTGAGGCAAAATAAAGAGTTTTAAACATCTTAAGTTACCTTGAAAGTTGGGGTAGGATTTAATGAACCATAAATTGGTCATATTTTTATTATCAGGGCTTTGTTTTATTTTGTAAAGATTTATTTTATTTATTTAAGCTTACAAGAGCTGGGGTGTAGGCCAAAGGTGGGGTGGGGGTTTGAGAGGACTCACCAGAGACAGTAGGGAACAGAACAGGAAGATCTACTGAAACACACTGCTGAGGGGAGCAGCAGGCGACACAGGAGAGGCCTGCTGCACCATGAGGGTCACTCCCTGGCCAAGGATCGGAACTGGTGCTGCAGTGGCTGCCAATAGTTTCATGGTGCTGCAACTTAACCCTTTGTGCCACCAGAGAGGCCCAGGGCTTTAATTTTTTTTTTATGGAACTGGGAGGTAGGTGGGAAGGTGGAGCGTCAAGAATTGCTGAAGGCTCCTGGGGTTTTTGCTACAGCGTGATTCCGGAAACTGCAGAGTTAGGCAGGTCACAAGTAGATTGTCATCTTTTGTAAAAACAATGCTTTCATTAGAGCTTCTACGCTTGACAAATGATTTGTCCTCAAGATATCATCTCGATGGGATTGATGCGATGTTAGAAAGGCCAGAGGGGATGAATATGAACCTACTTTGTAGGCTGCTGTATATGAAGCTGACTGTTAGGGAGAGCCTCTGTGGTTGATGTTTTGGACAAATGGAATTTTTTGTTCAGTCAATAGAGAAGGTATTGGCGTAGGTACTACTGATTATTGGCATGGAGTATGAAATGTAACTATTGATGAACTCATATTGATTAATTAAACCTTTAAAAGTAATTAATAATTATGTTTGCCACTTTAGACAGTTTAGAGCGATTGTAAATCGCTTTGTAAATGACTTTAATAAGCTATTTAGGAATAATTTTTGATTAACAGAAAAGTCACAAGGGTAGAACAGAGAATTCCTTTGTATCCCTCTCCCAGCTTCTGGGGAACAATTTGGTAGTCCTGGTCTCAGAAGTTTATTTTTACATCATTTTGTACATTTTTTTTCATGAAGCACACTTTAAAAAAAGATTATTTATGCATACAGAACTGGGGTACAAATCAGAGGTGCAGTAGTGGTGAGAGGATTCACCAGAGGCAGAGTGGGGAGCAGGACTGGCAGGTAGACAAAGTACACTGCTGAGGGGAGCAGTGGGCGGGTCTGGAGAGGTCTGCCACGAAGTGTGGGTCACCTACAATGTGGGTCACCTACAGGGCAGGGATGGAACTCCTGGTGAAGAGCCTGAAGCAAGCTTCCTGGTGCTGCGCCTTAACCCATTGTGCCACCAGGGTGGGCCCTGAAGCACACTTCTAAGACATTGGCTCAGTTTCTCTTTTTTCCTTTTCCTTTTCAGAGTAGTCAAAATTACATTACCAGATGTTTAGTGTCAGATCTCAGAGGAGCAAGAGAGACTGTTATATCTTTCTCAGTACTTCTTGGGCAAAGTTATACAAACAATAACCAGGTCAACTTAGCAAGCACAGTTAAAGATGTGCCACGTAAACTCACTCGCAGAACTGCAGACATTGAAGAGAGTATCAAGGGAGAAGTGTCGAGAATTCCAAATTTCTGCAGGAAATTCTTCTCGAGGTTCACAATAAAGCAAGTTGTCAAGAATGTGACCTTGGAGACATGCTTCCTGGGTTTGCAAGCATCCTTCATTTCTAGTGGTAGGCTCTGGGGCCAGTGACTCTGTGTCTCCGTACCTCAGCCACCTCATTTCTAGGAAGAAGCCAGTAATATCCCTGTGAAGAGTCTCTTCACAAATACTTTGTGAAGAGTATTTAGAAGTGTCTGACTCTTAAGTATTAGATGTTGGGTTTTGTTGTTGATTTTGTTGGTTTTATTGATGGCCTCTAGGATATGGATTAAATGAACTGTTGAAAACTCTGGCTGATGTTGCTAAATGTATTTCTTGTTTTGAACAGAATCTCAGCCACCTGTCACAAATTTGAGTGTTTCTGTGGAAAACCTCTGCACTGTGGTTTGGACGTGGAATCCTCCTGAGAGAGCCAGCCCGAATTGTAGTCTCTGGTATTTTAGTCATTTCGGCAACAAACAGGATAAGGTAAATTTTCTGGAATGTATGGCATTGATGAGGTAAAGTGAACACTTGGACTGGAATCAAAAGTACAACAAATTATAATGGTACTTCAGAGTGGGGATTTTATTATTGGTTGTATCCAGTTTTAACTGGGAAAGTTACAGAAAGGCTGTTGACAGTTAAACATTTGAAAATATTTGCTTACTCTATGATAATTATCTTGTTGAGGTGCCCAAGAAATACTCAATATCTTTACCTAGTAGGCACTCTGCAGTTATGCTAAAGTTGATTCTGATGCTCCTGCCAATACCTTGTATTAACAGAATACTTTTCAATTTTCCAGGAAATTTTCACATGCACTCTTTTTTTTTAACTATAATCTGTTTTTATTGAATTCCCTCATAGTCGTACATTTTGATATATATATATATATATATATATATGTATGTGTGTTTTTAAAATAACATAATAGTTTATTTTTACATCATTTGTCCCTTTTCCCATCTCAGTTGTAATCCCCGTGGGCTTCCCATCACCACATCACCCGTGTGCCATCACCAGAGTTCTGTGCACTTCCCTCCCCCATTTGCATTTTTTAAAAAATATATTGATTTATTTACGCATACAAGTCTTGGGATGTAGGGCAGAGATGAGGGGGTGAATGGATTCACCAGAGACAGAGTGGGGAGCAGAACAAGCAGATCTACTAAAATACACTGCTGAGGGGAGCAGCAGGCGAGGCAAGAGATGTCTACTACACCTCGTGAATCAGCTCCCTGGTCAGGATCTATCTCTGATCTCATGCTGCAGTGGCTGCCAGTAGCTTCATAGTGCTGAGATTTAACCTCTTGTGTCACCAGGGAGGGCCCTCATAGATGATTTTTTAAAAAAGAAAAGATTAGCAGAAGTGACTGCTGCCCACCATGGTTTTAACAACATCTGATGGTTCCCAATCTGCAAGTTGAAGGATCTGGTATCAGATTTTAAATATTTTTTATCACTAAGTGACAGGGAAGTCTTTCACTAGGTAAATAAATAGAAAGGCCCTTTTCCCATCCAGACTTCCAAGGAGACAGAGCTGAAGTTGATTCCCCTTTCCTTCTGCAAAAGGAAGCTGCGATTTGAGAAGGTGTGATCCAGTGAAATGAACATAGGTCCTGCTGGGGAGGGATCAGTTTAGGTCTTTGGCCCTGGTTTTTGATAAATTTTTGAAGGAAGCAGATTCCCAGAGGGGTGGAGGATATTGTCATAAGGCAGTTACCAATGAAATGAGTCACGCAGCAGAAAGTCACATGGGAGCGTCACGCATATCTCAATTAGATTTGCTGGGAGGGATTGCATTCCTTGTTTGATAGAGAAAGGTATGCTCAACTTAGTGATCACAGAGGATAAAGATTTCTGTATTTTTTCTGCCAGTTTACTGTTACTTATCTTGAACTTCGAAGACCATTTTTTAAAAAAAAATATTTATTTATTTATGCATACAGAGCTGGGTACAGGCCAGAGGTGCAGGGATGGCGAGAGGCTTCACCAGAGACAGAGTGGGGGAGCAGAGACAGAGTGGGGATCAACGAAGTACACTGCTGAGGGGAGCAGCGGGCGGGTCAGGAGAGGTCTGCAGCGCCATGTGGTCTCCTCTGGGGCAGGTGGGAATCGAACTCATGCGGAAGTGGCTTTAGCTTCTCAGTGCTGTGCTTTAACCCGCTGCACCACCAGCGAGGGCCCCTCGAAGACCATTTTTAAAGATTGTCTTATCACCTACCTCCATTGTCTCTCTTCTATGTTATTCATGTGCCCCAAATATAAAGTTCAGATTTAGGTATTAAAGTATTTTTTCATTTGAAAACCCATATCATAAAAGCCTTGTAATAAAACTCAACCCTGTCGTGGGAATAATACCTAATATAGTAAGAGAACTGGGTTTCCCCCATGATTCTAATCGATGACATTTGACCATGCATTTCCCCCCGGTGTCCTCAGAGGGCAATTGCAGGTCCCCAATAATTATCAAGGATCCTTGTGTCAGTGTGGCTGCTTTAGGGGTATGTATGTATATAGCACTTTTGCTTCTTAAAATTGGGAGGCTGTTGGAATTTGCCTTCAACAGCTTCCCTGTCCCTACTCACATCCTCCTCAGTCCAGGTTTCAGATTCACAGGCTGAGAAATCTCACTCAGCACACATTCCTCTGTCAAAGGCCAATTCCTTAACTTTGCCATGAGAACATTGTAGGTGAAATGTTCTACACAGCCTTCTGGTTGTATAATTTGTGTTCTGTCCCTATAGGTAGAAACTAAGGAAAGCCAAATGATGTATAGATTTCTGGGCAAGGAATCAGGAATTAATTGAGAAAACGTACAGGCTCTGAAAACTAGGAGGCCCCATTGAGGGCAAGCACAGCTTTGTCAGTGGGACAGAAATACTCAGTATCCATGCAGCTAAATCACCCTGTTTCCTCTCAGAATTTTGCTTGCTATTATTGCTTTTTCTTTTCTGCCAGCACTGACCAACCAGCTCCATTTCCAGAGTGATGTCTTGCTGGGCCTAAGAGCTGTTCTGCTTCTATAAAGTGATCTTTTTATTGTGCCTCAGCCATGGTTCCCTAATTGTTGGCTTGTTGGCTGTCCCTCTGGGGCATCCTTGAGTTCTGCCTTGAGAGCTTACCATCGCCTTCACACACAGCTGGCAGCAGGTGTGTAGTGGCAAAATAGCCCCTTCGAGTAATTAGACGGAGGCAACTGACGGATTTTCTTTCTCATGGCCATCAGCACGTATTTAAAAGGAAATGCTTTCTCCAACTTGAGGCAGAAATTATTGCATAACAGGAAACTCCTGTTAATCAGGAGCTCTGATTCAGAGAAGCTCCATTTTTAATTCTTCCAACTCTGTCACCCGGGGAAATGTTAAATTCCTAAAGAGCCCTTTAATCTCATTATTGTAAATCCTAATAATCAGATTTGTGACTAAGGTCTGTATGTTGTCTGTGAGTTGACTTCATGTGATTCCTCAAAGCTTACCTACTTTGCAGATAACAGCATATGTGATAGTGAAAATGGTTAAACAATAAAGACGCTATTTAATGACAAGTCTTTCTTTTGCTCTCAGCCTTGACCCCCCTTTCTTTCCTTCTTTTCCTCAGAGGTCACCAGCTTCCTGGATGCTTAAAGCAGTCCTTGTTACTTTGGTCTTGATGGTATACTACATCTGCTTGGAATTGAATTGTGATCATCTCATTCCATTTCGCTTAAAATTGCTCTTAGATAGTTGGTATAGTACTATGATAAGTTTATAGATAAAAGTCATTTAAATGTGGGAAATCGTCTTTTGTTTATACTGGCATTTTCCACAGTGACAAGGCTGACATTGGCACAGGATAATTTTCTGTGGTGGGGAGGGAAGGCTGGCCTGTGTATTGTAGGGTATTTAGCAACAGCCTTGGTTTCTCCCCACAAGATGCCAATAGTAGCCACTTCCAAGTTATGACAACCTATGGGGATCGTAGAGAATACCAAATAGCTCTAGAATTGGGGTTGCAGTCATCCCAAGTTGAGAGTTACAGATCTGTACCATTTGAGAACTTTCTATTCCCCCCCACACATTTGGGCATGCTAATGTTTGATTACTCAAGTGTATGTTATTACTTGGCATGTTTGCTACAACAGTGCTTTTTAAATTTCCTAACCATAGAAAATTGCTCCAGAAACTCGTCGTCTGAAAGAAGTAGCCCTGAATGAAAGGATATGTCTGCACGTGGGGACCCAGTGCAGCACCAAGGAAAGTGAGAAGCCTAGCATTTTGAAAGAAAAATGCACTCCAGTCCCTGAAGGTAACAACAGAAAGCTCTATCCCTTGGTATTTAGAGAATAAATTCAGCTTATGAATCTGCTTGTGATCAGTGTGCATTAATGCATTCAGAGTAACTCTCCAACACTTGCTGAACTAATATGTGCCAAGAAGTACTGGCAATACAGAAAGTTTGAGGGTGACCCTGCCTTCAAGGTGTACACTGATAACCTGAATAATGATGCTTCGTAGTTTTACTATAGCACTTATAGAGAAATTAGTTTGATATACAGTTTCAGAGGGAAAATGGGTGTGCTGGTTTAGCGCCAACCAAGGATGAGCCACAGAAACTGCCCAGTAGGAACCTTGGTCATTGTTCCGCAACCCCCTTCCCACCCATTATTCGGTGTCCTTCCTCCTTTGCTCTGAAGGACAGGAAGTAGCACATACTGTTTAAGAACAGGGCTACCAGGCCCCAGATGTCCAAGTTCAGATCTCAGCTCTGCCAGCTGCTGTTGTATGACATTAGGCAGATCACGTAGACCTTTGCCCCTTCAGTTTCCTCATCTGTGTAATGGCATGATGATCGTACCTACCTCCCAGGGTTGGTGAGAGGATGAAACAGTAGATGCGAGGTGCCTAGAATAGTGCCTGTCCAAGAGAAAGAAAATGCAGTCTCCGTGTTATCTGTCAATATTATATTACTCCTCAATTGGGAGTTATTTGTATTTTCACATTCATTTTGAAATTCCTTTGTCATTGCCTGTGGTTGAAGTGTTACATGACCCATCACCTCCTTCTCCAGTTAGGGGTGCAAGAATTAGAGTTCCCTTAGTGATAATGAAGATTTTTTTTGTAACATCAGCAGGAGAGGCAGAGTTGTGAACAGATGAGATGTCAATTTTCTGTTCTGGGTGCCTTCTGGATAAAATTGAGTGAAGGATTAGGGGTTAGTTTCCTGGTAAAGTACCATGAAGAACCCTCACCATTCTCCATGCCCCAAAAGTGACTGGCTATTTTGCACTGCAAAGAGAAAAGAGTCCTGAACTCTGTCGGATATTCTAGGTGATCCTGAGTCGGCTGTGACCGAGCTACAATGCATTTGGCACAACCTCAGCTACATGAAATGTACTTGGCTCCCTGGAAAGAATACAAGTCCTGACACTAACTACACTCTCTCCTACTGGTGAGTATGTAAGACTCATAGAGAGGGACTGACTGTGATGCTGTTGGAAGCCATTGGATCTAACTTAGTTAAAAAAGTGGTTTTTTCCTACAAATCCAAAAGATGAGCCATTCACTTCAATGGAAAATGCATCTGCTTATGGCGCCTACTTGCAAAAAAAATCCAAAAAAAAAAAAAAAAAAAACCCAAAAAAACTTCTTTTTAAAAAAGTTGGGAATCCACAGGATGTTGCAACAAGTATACAGGAAGACCCAAGTTTGTCCCAATGGGAAATCTCAAAGAACTAGGATGCAATATTGAAACCACAATGTTGACATTGGTACAATCCCCTCACCTTGCTCAGATTTCACCAGTGTTCCTTGTGCTCATTTGTGTGAGTGTGAGTGTGTGTTTGCATGGTCTGTGCAGCTTAATCACATGTGTTGATATAGGATAGTTCCAGTACTGTAAGGGTCATTTGAGTTGCCCTTTTATATCCATAGTCATAGCTCCATCCTCCTCTCTTCCCTCGCATTCCTCTCTTCCAACTCTAACCTCTGGCAACCACTAATCTGTTCTCCATTTCCGTAATTTTGTAATTGTAAGAATTGTTACTGGAATGGAATCCTGTAGCACATACTGGTTGTGGCTCTTTTTAAACTGCATAAGATACTTAAGAGCTATTCAAGTGTTCTCCTGACAGTTCGTTCCCTTTTTATTGCATATAAAAACGGAGTAGTATTAATAGTAGTGGTAGTAGTAGTAGAATTCCATAATATGGATGTACTGATTTTTTAACCATTCCTTACAGGATATCTCAGTTGGTTCCAGTTTTTGTTGTTGTTGTTCTTTTGAATAAAACTATTATATTTATATTTAGCCTTTTGGATAAGCATAACTTTAACTTTGCATTTCTCTGGAATAAATGCCCAAGAGTGCCATTGCTAGGTCATATGACAATTGTATATTAGTTTTAGGAAACTGCCAAACTCTGTTCTAAAGTAGCTGTGCCATTCTACAATCCCACCAGCAATGTATGAGTGATTGGTATCTACTATGAAAAAACAATTGTATGATACCCAGAGTCAAAAGTAGTTTGGCTCCCCACAATATAACTTACAGTTGATATTTTTGTCTGTAGCTACAAATTGTGGTAAATTTCTAAATTAATGTTTAGATAATTTTCTTAGAGTCTAGAATTATTAACAACACACAATAAAGGAGACATAACCATGCTAAACAATTTAATTCACCAAAATTATTATTATTATTATTATTATTACTTTTTAATATTTTATTTTATTTTTTAAAGATTTATTTATGTATGCATACAGAACTGGGGTACAGGCCAGAGGTGCAGGGGCAGCAAGAGAATTCACCAGAGACAGAGTGGGGAGCAGAACAGGCAGATCAACAAGGTACATTGCTGAGGGGAGCAGCGGGTAAGACAAGAGAGGTCTGCCACGCCATGTGGGTCAGCCCTGGACTGGGGATCGAACTCGCACTGAAGCCACTGCAGCTAACTTGCATTGCTGCGCTTTAACCACTGCGCCACCAGGGAGAGCCATTATGTTATTATTTTTTTAAAGATTTACTTATTTATGCATACCGAACTAAGGTACAAGCCAGAGGTGCGGTGGGGGGTTGTGTGTGAAAACATCCACCAGAGGCAGTGTGAAGCAAAACAGGCAGATCTATTGAAATACACTACTGAGGGGAGCTGTGGGCAAGACAGGAGAGGCTCAGCTGCGCCACGTGGCTCAGCTCCCTGGCCAGGGATGGAATCTGCTGCAGTGGCTACGGACAGCTTCATAGTGCTGCGCTTTACCCCCTTGTGCCACCACAAGGGGCCCTCACCAAAATTATTTAATACTTATTGCAGTACAGATGTGAAAGGGTGGCAGAGATGAGAAACATGTAGATGGGGGGGATAGTGCTGAATACAGCTACCTACAGAGGCACACCCCAGAGATTTTGCAGGCTTGGTTCCTAGTCACCACGATAAAATGAATGTTGCGATACAGCAAGTCACATGACTTTTTTGGCTTCCCAGTGTACATATAAGTTATGTTTGTGTTAGAGTGTAGCTTTTAAGAGTGTAGCTTTTAAGTGTGCAAGGGCTTTATGTATAAAAAACAATATATACCTATATTTTACATAACAATTTTACTTTAACAAAAAATAAAACAATCACAGAGTTAAAAACCTGTAACATGCCTTAATTAAATGTGACATAGAAACATGACATGAGCTGTTGCCCTTGCGAAAATGGTACCGATACACTTGCTCAATGCAGGGTTGAGACAAACCTTCACTTTGTCAAAAATGTGATATCTATAAAACACAATAAAGCAAGGTGCAGACCAGTGAGGTATGCCTGGATAAAAATAAGAAGATGATGAGGCTTGCAAATTATAGGCAGACTTTTGTGAGAAGCTAGTGGGTATCTGGGGGAGGTGGCAGTGGAGGCTAACGGGCTTCGATGAAGTGGGAGCGCTGCACAGATCAGGACCTTTCTTAGAGGCTGGGCTCTGGGTCAGAGAGTTCTGAGGAAGGGAGGTAGTGAGACACCATGGCGGGAAGTAGGAGGTGTAGCGTAGGCAGTCTGCTCTCTACATGACCTTGTCCTCCTTTCTGTCTTTCACTGAAATGGCTTCTGGGAAAATGGGGTGTGGAAGGCTGTTACCAGAACTTCTGAAGCTACAAGATAAACATGGAATATCCATTTTGCCTAATGAAAGTATTTTTGGTATATTTAAACACTCAAGCCTATATCAGGGAATAGAGTGCAAAAATCATGAGACTTTTTGAACAAAAATCTCGAAAGCTATCTCAGGGGTTCACATCCACTCTTTGTCCTTGTTCCACAAAGTGCTTCCAGCAAAGCTGAGAAGTGCTGCAGGTGACCCACATGGTCCTGAGATGGTTCAGTCTGGAGGGTTTTTTCCTAATAGAAGTAATTCTATTTTTAGGGGCTCCTTGTTAGGGACAGCCTCATCAAGCTCACATGAGCCACTGCAGCCTGAGTTCCATCTGCCTGTTCTGCTCCCCACTCTGTCTCTGGTGAGCCCTCTCACTCCCCCTGCACACCTCTGGCCTGTACCCTAGTTCTTGTATGCATAGATAAATCAATCTTTTTTTTAAAAAAGCATTATCTTTTGAGGCTTTATCATTTCACTTGCCTCCTTGTGGTACCTGTTGTTTCTTCTTAACTGAAAATCCCCAGTGACTCCCTGGTGTCTTTGGGATAATGCTCAAACTTCTCACCATGACAGACAAAGCCATTTATGATCTGGCATCTACCAGTTTCTCAAATATCAGTCTCTTCTCCCTCTGCGTTTCTCTAACCTTCTCACACCTTATGGTCTAACCCACATGGAAATGCTTTCCGTTCAAACTGACCCTTTAGACACTCTTGGGTAGTGGAAGTCAAACCATATCCAAGCAGAATAGTGAAAGCCATCTGTGTTCCCTCACAGTCCCTGCCTCCCCTTTCACCTGGGTGCCTCGTAGTTGCCTCCTTATCTCGGATAGCACTTCCTCTTCAGAGAGCCATCCTTGACCTCTCAGGTCTCTCAAGATCTGTGTCTGGGTCCTCCCTGGTGGCACAGTGGGTTAAAGCACAGCACTAGGAAACTATGTGCAGCCACTGCAGCACGAGTTTGATTCCTGGTCAGGGAGCTGACCACACGGCGCAGCAGATCTCTCCTGTCTCGCTCACTGCTCCCCTCAGCAGTGTATTTCAGTAAATCTGCCTGTTCTACTCCCCACTCTGTCTCTGGTGAATCCTCTCACCCCTCACTGCTCTGGCCTGTACCTCAGTTCTGCATAGTGTGTATAAATAAATAAATCTTTAAGAAAAGAAAAAAAAGAAAGATTTGTGCCTGGCAGTGTTGTCCCACAGCACGTTGCACTTTCCCATGTTGTTGGTAGTACTCGCTGAATTGTGTGGTCATTTCCTGTTTACTAGTCACGACTTCCCCATATGCCCTCTCCCTTGAGAGCAGAACTATGTCTTGTTCCCCTGGTGCTAGCTAGACACAAGGGAGGTGTTCCGTAAAGCACTTGGGTGAGTGACAACTTAGGATGTATAAATAACTGAGAAGGGATAGAATTCAGAAATAAGAGAGCACTGAGCAGCTCTGACTCCCCAAAGAACTGCTAGTGAAGCTCAGAGAAATGAGCTTAAAAGGCGTAGCCTGGCCCTGATATCAAGGGCACATCTAGAGAGAGATGGCCTCGGGCCCTTTCCGATGTCCTTCAGGCGGGCAGCCTCCCTGCTAAGTGTGCTTTTCACATTTGTTATTGGGCAGGGGAAGAACAGAAGAAGCCTTAACACTGCACCTTATTCCATGGCTGACTGCAGGAAAGGCACCCGAATGTAGGAATCAGGGTGGCCTAGTCCCTAGAGCTTTTATAAGACAAAAATAGGAACGTGTTTGCAGCGTAAGTCATTGCAGATGACGTTGTAATGCGTGTTGCACAACGAGTGCCCCCTTTGGGTAGAGGAATTACCAAAGCCTAACTTGTAAGGCATCCTCTGGTTGAGGCCATCTTCTTCCAGGGTGATGTAGAGTCTTGCTTGGGCTAGCTTTCAGCCTTCGTTGACACCTTTGTACAGAGCACAGTCTATAGCTATTGAGGGTAGCTGAAGAATTCAGTCCCAGAGTAAGGCTTTCTGAAGGGGGCAGGTATAGGGCATTGCAGAGCTGGTTGTGAGCTTGGACTTTTCCTATAGTATAGCGCTGTCCCATCCGCAAGCCACTATTTACATTTTAATTTAAACAAATTCAGATTGTTAGGTGAAAACTTGTTGCTCATTCCTACTACCCAAATTCCCATGTGGGTTAAGTGGCCAGTGGATCCTCAATGGGACAGCACAGATACGGATATTTATCTAATCCCAGAAAGTTTGGGTAGAGATTCTCTATCGTCTGCCCTCACTGCTCCGCAGCTGATTGTGTTTTGGAGCCACAGTGCTTGGGTTAACATCTTGGCTCTCTTCCCCACCAGCAGTGTGA